AACTGTGCAGAGGGGGTGGAGCATCCCGCTTCACACTGTGACAAGGCGATGGAGCATCACAGCCTGAACTGTGCAGAGGGGGTGGAGCATCCCGCTTCACACTGTGACAAGGCGATGGAGCATCACAGCCTGCCTGTAACTAGGGGGCAGGGCATCACATCCTGGTTGCGACTATAGAGCGGAGCATTCCAGTAGACATTGTCACTAGGTGGTGAAGTAGAATAGCAGCACTGCACTGAGGGAGTGACAAATCACTGCCCTACTGTGCTGAGGGGGTGGAAAGAGAGGAGTGGTAGAGAGAGAGAGAGAGAGAGAAATGAGAGACCACTGACCTTCAGCAGCTCCTCTACCACATTTTGATGCCCAAAGTAACAGGCCAGGTGCAGAGGCGCCCAACCGAAGTTGCTCTTGCTCTTCCCTATGACACAGAGAGAACCTCAGCATTAAAGAACAAACTTACAAGTGATGAAACAGTCATGAGTGTGTTTGAATGTATATAATTATACGGATACAGAAAGTGGTGATAATTTGGCTAAAGAAAACAGCAGCTTATGCCATTGCAGAAGATGCTGCAAATAATGGTTTCAGCATATATTGAACTGTGAAACTGTTAGTCATTACTAACGGATGGATTTCCTTGGCAAATACTCACTAAAGTCATCAACAATTCAAATCTTGATTAACTGCAACTAATCTCAAATGAAGACCTGAGTAGAACGTAAGTGACAGTGTTTAAAACAAACAATACTTTGAAAAACAGGATATACTTCATCTCAAGAAAGTTTCCAGGAAGTTGGGATTTTGAAGGTGATAAACTTCCCTTACTGTATGTACAAATCAGCTCGATCCAAACTATGTGAAACTTGCCATTCCTTTTCAGAGCTCACTATGGGTGATTATTTTTGTACTAGGGCTTTAAGCTATTTTGACTTCTGTCATTGTTGCCAGAGGGTGCTGTACTCTGCATGCCCACCTATGCAGTTTATGTTAAGTTTGAACTCCTCTTTCAGGCTGGAAAGCAGCAGCTTCTGAATTCCTAGAAGGTTCCCGTTCCTGGCATCATGGAGAAGCTGCTCCGAAGGGTCCAGGTCCTCCATGTTTCCTCAGCTGCATGGGAATCGAGATTAGATGCTGATGAGAAGATGATCCCCCAGGGGTAAAACAGCAGCTGTCGCAGCTTGGAAGGATTCAACATTCCCACACACTAAAGGCACCGGCAAACATGTCTGATACAGGGACATCAAAACAAACTCTGCTATCAAGTCCAGTAAGAGAAAACAATCGGTACGTACTGAAGACAGCAGTGCTTGTCGTGTCTCAGTAAAACCTCAACACATCTGTGACTGGGAAATATGGCCAGTCTGAAGGCATTTGGTCATATTTGATGTTTAAAATGCCCAGCTGATTTGGTCAGAGCCCCGCGAAATGTACCAGTCAGGTGGGGATTCACAATCAATCGGTACCAATCAAGCAGAGGCTCTCAAGCCTGACTGCTCCTTCTCACTCTGCCCAGGATGGCTGCTTTGTTTACATTTGTTTCCAATTAGCAAAGCAAAAGACACTCCTTTCTGAAGTTTAATTCTACAAAAGGTTAATCAGGAGAAGCTGAAACAATTTACATTTTAACACCCATTTGAGAGCTGTACAAAAATCATATTTATGAACGTTATATTTAGACTAATACCATAAAGGAAACTTACCCTTAAAGAAAGCTACCAATCCCATAAACAGTATCCGAGCTGCGTATTAGAGATTTCAGTAATGTGCCTGAAATGATAATCTGCCAGGAAGAGCCAGCTACGTACATCAAAACAGGAAAGAGTTTGGAAATTCTGCTGCAGGTCATATCTGAATGGAGTGAGTCAGGCTTGCATTCCTGAAAACAGGTAACAACACAAAGCTGTCTGTGATAAACCAAGCTGTCATCTGCAGTCATCTGACCTGATGGAGTCTCAAACAGGAAGCTCATGAGGAAATACTTACCAACTCATCAAATAAAAATAACACACTTTACAAACAACTATGAAGAGATGAATGCTGCACAGTTAAGATAACCATTGAAAATAGTTTTCTATAATTCCCCCCATTTAAACATCATTCACACACGATACAGCTTGGTAAAACCTATCTAGGCTGTTTTAAAATAAATATGTTTGGAGGTAGGTAGGCCAGAAGTTATCAAACTGCATTAGTCTGCCCCCAAGTGGTAAAACTGAAAGAATGCAATTTACTATCTAGAAAACAATTCAGGTAGGCATCTTCCCTTTTACGATGAGGCACACTATAAATCAGCAACAACTGCAACTATTCATTCATTCAGACACTAGAATTAGGGCAACAGGTGGCAATGCTGTTAAGGACATACACTTGTGCAAATCCTGTGCAAGTTCCAGAAGAGTCCTACAGAAGTACCCTGAGCAAGGTGCCTGACAGGAAGCGCGAATGATGCTGGGGATAAAAAGTGGATAAAAGGGGAAGACGGGCAAGTGAATATGCCTATTATAAGTCGTTTAGAACGGCACCACTATTGTACTGCAGTATTCCATGATAGTTACATCTCTTAGGCGTAGTTTAAAACTACAATAACGACCCATTTTCAGTAAACTTCAAAGAAACGCCTGGTTTAAGCAACGTATCTGGAGATGCGTCTATTTTGCTATTTCTAGACAGAAAACTTCTCATGAGGACGCCTTCCACTAAGGGTGTTTTCATAAATTGCCTTCTTAAAACAAACCAAACTCAGTCCTCTAAGTGGACCAGAAAGTGGGCCAAAAGAAAGAGAACCGAGTCCTTTTTGGATGCACATCAGCAATCACCTACCCAAAGCACTTGGTTCACTTTCTGGTACACTTCAGCTTGTATGTGGTCTCAGTCCATTTCATATTTACACTCGGTACCGGTGGTAACAAGAAAACAGAGGGTATTACAGTATAAGGCGGGATGTTTATGGATGTTACATTTTTCAATCACACACTTAGAGGATTAATGATATGTGCCACATGTACATATAATCTAATGTACTCAACAGGCGGGTCGAAATACTAATCCCGACCGCCTGATCGATCTAAAATCTTAAACCTACAATTAAGGCAAATGGTTCTAGAAACAGAAGCATGACAACCACTGAAAGCACACTTTAAAACATAAAATGATCTTAAGTGTTTAAGGTATAAGCCTTCAATAAAATAAAAAAACTACGACCTGTTTATACTATGAACGCCTGCGTCAAGTAATTTTTAAAAACGAATTATACCAAGTAGCATCAGCCTCTCCGTGAGACGCTCCCTGAAGGTTTTGATTTTACCTCTGAATTCTGGGATTCTGTGCAACGTCATGACCTAAACTCTCACGTTGTTTACAACCAGGAAGGAATGTTATAGGTCTCTAATAAAATCTGTATTCATACTATTTCCCATTTGGGAGAAAAAAAAATATTTCCCACTGGGGTAACAAAATACAATTTCCCAGTTCTATAAATTAGTGTAATCTATCTTAAGAATTCATAATAATTTTTTGACCATTTTGACATCAGCACCGTGTGATATTTCAAAAAGCCTTGAGAAAAAAAGAAGCAGGCGGGGCCCACTTTCTGTTCACACATCGTCATCAAACGAACCTGCAAAGTGCACTAACGAACTGAGGCTGTCTGACTTCGATTCGCTTTTTGAGGATGAGTTCGTTTGAAGCATTCACATATGGCTCTTTTTTGTGAGAAACGCACCCAGTCCACTTAACTCTGCTGAAACCAGTCATGTGTGAAAACACCCTAAAAGGAGCCGTTTCCTTTCAGTACCGTTTAAGTTTATAGTGCTATCTACATTTTAAAGTGATTAAGTTACTCCAATAGATGAAATAAGAACAATGGCTTTTGCTTTCTCTACGTAACTCAATTTGTGTTATAATTAATACACTGCCTTGACTTCCCTGTTGCCTGCCAAGTTTGAATAGTAAAGCAAAAACCATCGATTTCCTTTTTTCAAAACATGGGCTCTGGAACTAGATTAGTGCCCAAAAAACATCACATTTGGTGTAAAACAGGCGCGTCTTTTGTCCGGGAAGACGGTACATGTAGTTCACACGATAGTGATGCAATGGTTTAATACAATGTACGACATATGTTTTATATTGTTAGGTGCTTTTCAAGCGAAACAGGAATACCCTTACTAATTTTAAAGTCCCTGGGGCTGGCGTTATCTGTTGAAACTGGTTCATATAGATGTCCATAACCGACGGATTCAGTGTGAAAACAAATATCAGCCCATAGCAGTCAAATAAAAAGTTCCAAATCTCACGTCTCAACCCAAAGGAAAAAATGTAATGATCCCTGTTTCTCTGGGCACCTGACATGTTCATGTGTGACCCTGCACGCGGGCTCTGTGCAGCAAAGTCAACGACCACAACAGCAATGAATGTACAAAACCAAGACGTCAGAAACATCAAACATCAGATATGCATCCTAAAATAGAAAGCAGACGGCCAAATAATACTGTGTTACGGAGCATTAGGCTTGGTTCGGTTAAAATGTTAACTAGAGCTTGCAAATGGTTTTGTTAACTTTATTGGTCACATACTCGGATAGCAAATGTATTGGGTAATATATGCCTATCACTCATGTGACAGCTACAGCGTGTTTTGGTGAAATCCTAATCTTTTCACTGGACTTAAGTACAGTATTTTACTTGCTCTAAAGAATAAGTACTATCAGTATATGGGTATTCATTTCATTTTCAACATTATAGCTCTGGTCGTCCCAACTTACAACCGTATCCTACAACTTCAGTGACTTAAATGTTTGTCGGTCTATTTTCTGTAGAGACGCAATTAATTAATTAAACTGAAACGTTCGAGTTTGTCAATCTGGTATAACAACCTCCTCTTATATAGCCTATTACACAGACAAGGCTGTCACTTTTAATAAGCTCCAATCACTCACGGTGAAAGCAGAAAACGACAGTGTCGCTTGGAAATGCACATTTACGCACCTTTTTAAAAAGTATGTTATATCCGTGAAAGACATGCGGAGCTCTTCACCGATATGCGCCGTTCAGATCTTGTTTTCGACGTCTGGTAGTCGTGTCACTGCTCAGTGTTTTTTTTTTAAGTGATCGACAGATTTAAGTAAAGTTTTTTGCATGACCTTAAGCAAACCAGCATGTGACTGTCTTACTAAGCTGTTAAACAGAGTTCGTAAAAAGCTTTGCACACGCCGTTACAATGTAGCGCTTTCGAGCATATTCGCTGCAGTTTGCCAAAACTTTTGCCTCACCTCTGCGGAAGCCAAACATTGCCGGCTGATTAAAAAAAAAAGAAACTGAGCAGATAAGGCAGACTTTAGATTAAAGGGGCGGTAATGCGGCGTAAGCACGAGGTGGACCGGCTGCAGTTGTGCACGCGCACCTGTCACGCACAGGTAGAAGTTTTGTTATACGAGAAAGCTGCGTGCATACTTTCATTTTCGTACATTGAAATGTAGCTGACATTAATGCGTGTATAACAATATTAAAACGCATTTATTTGTAACGCTATTATTTTAAACTGCCTTCCGAAAATATTTTTGGGTGTAAATTACCCACATTGTTAGTTCGGTAAGCTCTTATCAGTCGACCATTTATTTAGCTAGTTTTCATGCTAGAAAAATGTTATGTCTATTTATTATGTGGCCTGTTAACTGTTGTTTAGGTCTTAAAATGAATGTGAATACTTTCTGCCCTATGAATTTTCTCCCTTTCGAGCATCAGGCGTACACCGGCATTTCAGACGTGTCGCTTTACTAACTGCGAGCTAACGGCTAGCTAGCAGCAGCTACTGTAGCGCCCCTCCTTGCCCCGGAAGTAGAACTACGTCAGCTTGCCCCTTGCACGCGCAGGTCACCCGTATAGCAGGGGCCGGACAATTGAACTTGCTGGTGCCAACCGCAGTTCTCTTAAAGTCGCTTACTGTGGAATAACAGTCGTAACTACAGTGGTTTCTGAAAAGCGCATTATATTATTAGTTATTATATAACTGAAATCCAGCTATTGTCACTTGGCATTTTTTTTTTCTTCTCAATTTAGGTTGGGAACAAAATTAAAACGTTTCACTTGCTTGCTGTCTTCGTTAGTATGAATGGCCACTTATGTCGAAAATGCAGGAGATCTTCAGGCTCAAGTAAGTTGCGTGTTTTCTGGGGGTTCAACGCAATAACTGATTATTCGCTCAGGAGGTGTGCCGGTGTTCTGACGAGTTGAGCTACCTATCGAGACGTGCTATCGGGCCTTTCTGCGCATGTGCAGTTCCACCGTTTTGGGATTAGGGTTAGGTTTTAGGGGTTAGGTTTAAGGATTTGGGGGGTTAGGGCTATCGATTAGCACTACGGTAGCCTAACTCGACAAAGTAGCTCAACTCGCCAGAACACCGGTTAGGACTGTGTAAAAGCTTGATGTGAGTTATGTCTGACTGCAAATTACAAACAACGATTTTGTATCTCTTTTTGAGACCGAAGCCGATCGTATGGTTCACGTGGCCCAAAATATCCTCTTAAAAACCGCGACAGAGTAACGTCTCCGGAAAGGTTTACCCAATTTAATTTGAAACGTTGCAGTTCCTACAAAGTAACTTAAAAATATGTAGAAAAATTCTTTAATACACACAATCTGGCACACAATCTTCTCTTAGATTACGTTACTTAATATTACTAACATACATGTCATCTCTATCTTGTGATGTCCGCTGATATTCGGTTGTATTAAGTTGTTACAGACAAGGGTATTAGTTATGAAAAGTAATTTGAATGCCATTTTATGTTGCTGCCTTATTTTCAGGATTGTTGTTTGTACTGTGAGTACGTGTAGTAAAATCAGAATGGGTTCCCTAGGTCCATTTGCTCCAAGTATGGATTCTGGTTGAGTTAGAGCCTAATAAAAGAAACACAGTGAAACAAAAGTGAAGCATCTTTATTTTCCTTTAAGTCTCCAGACCACAACCAAGGCACCATTTTGAGGTGCAGGACCCTGTCATTATTCATGCATTTTGAGGTGCAGGACCCTGTCATTATTCATGTTGTCACTTGTGTGCTTCATGAGATCTGAAATAAAATATTTGCCATCAATTGTGGTTTCTGTTGGCTGTGGTCTTTTCTTCTGAAGCCCTTGCCTTTTCTGCTTTTTTTTGTTAAAAGTTAGTTCTCTCTTCTCATAGCAAGCTGGTAATTTCACCTTCAACAGGGTTATTATTTCTCTGACATGTTCGGGTTCTCCTCTTTTTTTTTTTGTAAACGTCATATTGAATTCTCTGTTTTCATGTGGCAATCTTTGGCTGAGGTTTCCAAGGCTGTTAAGTGATTCCCCCTGACAGAATAGTCATTTAAACATCACAATTCTTGTCTTCAGGGCTTTCAGAAGGATCAGTTGCGGTCATTTTATTTTATCAGGGGGATTCTTGCACCAAGTTGCATGAGTTTTTCCGCTACTAATGGAACGCAGAGAAACTTTGAGTCCTTGAAAATCCCCAGAGTCTCCCGCTACACTTTCTGTGTGATGTTTGAAATGGTCACAGCAGCCGGACCTGCTGACCTTGTTTTTCATGAGCGGGAGGATTTTGAAACACTCAGCCTCCAAAAGCCACCATTGATCTTCTGAGCATCCTTTGGAGGTCTCAGGTAGCTTCTTTCATGTTACTCCAGTGTTAATTACATTCTCCAAATTAAAGTAAATAGGATAATTGGGCTGACGAGCCACTCGTCCCTGGCAAAAGCCAATATGTATAACTAGACCTAATGCTCTAATTGGATAGAAATAACCAGCTATGCTATTCTATTGTGTACACAACACAATGCATATAATGTCATAAACAAAAAAAGAAACTAATGGGCCTTTCAAAGTCCATTACAATGGTATTTGCAACTGATAACACTGTGAATCACTGATGGATGTGTACAGGTTAAAGGACAACATGATCTACAGCTAGGGACACGTGTGACATGATCGGTATCTCTGATGTCTTCACTTGAAACGCCTCCATCTCCCTCGTTGTCTCTTTCAGGTCGATGAGGTCGAAGCTCTGTCCTCTATATATGGTGACGAGTGGTGCGTGATCGACGAGGCATCTAGAATATTCTGTATCAAAATCTCAGCTGACTTGAGCTTGTCAAAATGGACCGTGTGTCTACAGGTAAGACTATCAATGCAATTACGTTCAGAAGTGTTTGTACCTGTATCACAAGAGGGCGGTGTGTGGCTCTGGGTTAGGATACTGTGCTTGTCACTGAAAAGTTGCTGGTTTAAATGTCACGGCCAGCAGAGTGATGTCACCATTGGGCCCTTGAGCGACGCCCTTAACCTCAATCTGACCCTTTATGTTGCTTTGGACAAAAGCATCTGCTAAATAAATACAATGTTTCACATTAATCCTGCTTTTTTAAAATAGATTATCCTACCACCTGATTACCCAAGTGCCTCTCCACCTATTTATCAACTTAAGTAAGTGCTGCTGAGAGTTTGTCAGTTGTCTTGTTTTCAAATTTTACATATAAATGAAGAGTCGTAAGTGGATTATTAGTTATGAGATGAGGAAAGTGCTTTGGACAGAGGTAACAATGCCACTGTCTCTGCAGTCAAAATCTTCAGACTGAAACTGTATGTGTATGTCACTCAAATTAATTCTGAATCGGAGTGCAATAAAATAAATGTGGCCAACGTTGAATTCTTCTCATGAAATGTAATGATTAAGAAGTAATTCTCCTATGTTAATTTCAAGCCTTTCAGTAGATGGTTACACTACATTACATCTGCTCCATTTTGTCGAGTGCCTATTACAGATACGTGCCAATTAGAGATTGTTTCATTCCTTAGTGCCGCGTGGCTGAGAGGACCTGAGAAAACACAGCTCTCTAACATGCTGGAGGATCTTTATGTGTGAGTCACTTTAAATATGCATCAAAAACACTGAGAGGAGTAATGAGAGAAATGGGCCTAGATGTTCGGGATTAGCATGAACTGTCAGTATATGCCAATAGGCCAACCTGCAAATGGGTGACAGTGTAACCCTGATTTTGACATGTGTTGCATCTTATGGTTGCAATAAAATTTGTTTCCATTTTGCATGTCTGCTTCATTTACAGTTGGCCAATATTATCACTTTAGAGGCCATAAGGTCCTGCTACCTCTATGTCGTGGTTTGAAATAACATTATTATTATTATTATGCACAGCTATTTACAATTATTGTTTCCCCACAGGGATAATGCTGGGGAAAGCATCCTTTATCTGTGGGTGGAGAAGATCAGAGAATTCCTTGTGGAAAGATCTCAAACCAGTGATACAGGTAAAATAACACTAGAGGGGGGGCATTTTTTTTCCCAAAGTGGTCTTATAAACAGTATAAACAGCAGGTAATGATCATATATTGGATTTCCTTATTTTGTTTGATAAAGAGACTATTTACCCATGAGGCAGCAGTGAAATAAACAGGAAGATTTCCATAGAGATCTACCCTTTAATAAATAAAAGCCATGATTCCTCTTCGAGAAGCCTGATGGTTTGTAATGCTAAACCCGTCTCTGCCCTCTGAAGACGCTGCTAATTGCTGTTACTTGTTCATTATTTGTTGTGTGTTTTTGAAACTGGTTTTGAGAAGGCTTGGGCCCTAGAGTGCAAGGTAAAGAGAAATGTAGAGTGAAAACAGGCTGGACTGTTTTTTCTTTTCTTTTTAATCCTCTCTGCTGTACCGGGGGGGACTGTGTTTGTGTTTCCCTTCTGGATACATCGATATGCCCCGAATCTGTGTGGGACAACTGATAGTATATATGGTGGCTAAGCACACGAACTTGTTAATCATGTAGTATAATTGTACATGCAATGCAGAATATGCTGCACCAAGATCTGTGTTGTGCGTGTTCTCTTACCGTACACTAGATGTCACTATAAATTTATGTATCTGTTTACATTTTCAGCCTCTGCAAATGTAAGAAGTAAATATGCTAAAATCTAAAAGTCAAATCCATCTCTATAATAATGCTGGCAGTAGGAATGAATGCAATTCCGAGTGCCATATGCAATTGCAGTAGGTTTACTTTTTATACTTTTTATCCATCCATCCATCCATAACCAGTTATCCAGTCCAGGGTTGCAGTGATTCTGGAGCCTTCCATGACCCATTGCACGGCACACACTCACACAATATGGAAAATCTTCATGGTTCATCTCGCCAGAGGAAATGGGGAAGGTGGGTGGGAGGGATTCAAACTCCCTAAGACTGAAAGGCTGAGAGACTGTGCACTGTCACTGATGCATGATGTCACACCATTGTGCCCTTAGCAAAACACTCACAAACTTATCGTCTTATGTAATCATAAATCACATTTCCTGCACTGCAGTTGCCAGGTTATGCAACAAGTGCCCTGTTCCTTCACCTGGAGTCATGTGAGATATTCTGACAGAATATTTGTGTCTTTTATATGTAAAAGAAAGTTCTGCTCATTCCATACTTACTGATCTTCCCGTGCTTTGATGTAATCCTAGAAACAGAATTAATGTGATGAATAATGGCAGCTTATATGATTTCCTGGTCTGATATCATTATGCGTCTTCCCCGATTTCCATGAACTCCCTTGACAAGGGCGACACACTAGGGAGAGGCTAAGGGTTAGGGATGCGTAATTATCTCCGCATTTTAGGGACTGCTGCATATCTGGGCTGAGTTAAGCTATTGTTCCTGGGACTGCACTCTGGAGACCTCCACGAAAACAGCCCCCCCCACCTGCAGAACCAGAATGCCTGGACCTAGTTCTCCTCCCCAAGCAGTTCTCTACACACATATAGAAATCTACACTAAATTACATTTCTCTGGGCTCCTGGTGAGATGGACGCTTGCCTCCTGGTGAGTGGATCGTCACGCCAAAGCCTGCCAGGAAGGGGCTCGATTCACACACAATGGGGATGGTCCTTCTCTGGGAGGGGGGGTGGCTTCTGTGTACTGAGCTACTCAAATTATTTAGTGTGTGCCCTTCTGTGCTCCTGTGTCTGTGTAGAGGATTTCACAGTTGCGTGCGTGTGTGCAGGCAGTTCTCAACTGAATTCGTTACATAAATCCTTAAGTCAAATTTTATGTAGGTCATTACCTTCCCATTCCATTTCAGACACCTTTTAACAAAAACACGTGACAAAAAGTACTGTACTTGCAATATGTACGATACATACTGTACGTACATATGTACATACAAGTATCAATTCACCTACCTGTGGCCTTTTTGCATTAACACTTCAGTAAATCCTTTGCATCTCAGATTTACTGTACTGCAGTCGGTTTTACATAAGTTGCGATATGCCTGCATATATATGATATGAAATGAAGTACAAGTGTGAGAAGAAGTTCAAATGTGTTTTTCCCCTCATATCCCATCTTGTTCTCCTTTTTTAAGGTGAGGGTGAATCTTTGGGTCTGAGTGCAGGGTCAGCCATTCGTACAGCCCCCCTGCAGCATGTGAAATGTAGGTGTAATTCGAATCACACGGTGAGAGCTTTGTAAAATGTGCTGCAGTAACACATACTTCATGGTAATTTCTGGAAAACAACAGGTGTGTGGCGCTGATTGTGATTGTGTGTAAAGAAGTCTCTGCGTTTGACACACCTTTGAACTCTCTGAAAGCTTTTAAGACATAAATTGGCGGATTACTGTTTTACCGGGGGTGTGGGGGTAAGCAGGAGGGTTTTTGACGGGGCTCTCTGAATGGGGCTAATGAGCATCCTTTCTCCAGAGAGAGAAAGAGAGAGCGAGAGATTCTCAAGGTACTCGGCAAGCACTGGAGGGTGTCTGTAGGAGACATGGGGAGGCAGAGCGCTGAGGAGGTGTGTTAAAAGGGGAGGGGGGCGGAGCCATATTCTCCTGGCCTCCCCAGTGGGTGCCCTGCTTTGTGTCGCCTGCTGCAAAATGCTCCTAGTGTTTCACTGCGTGGGTGAGAGCGTTTGAGTTAGAGCGCCACGCTGCAGCGAGACACTGCAAAGCTAGATAACCCTGGTCATATGCCATTTTGGTGCCTCTGGGTGACCCAGGATTGTAATTTTGCTCATGGGTTCCTGGATGGAAGGATTGATGGGTGGTGGATGAATGAGAGCTTGTGCAGACAGATGGATCGATTGATGGATGAATGTTTTGAAAGGAAAATGCATTGCTGGATGGATGGATAAATAGACAAGTTTTGAGGGATACTAGATCAATTTAAGGATGGATGGATGGATGGATGGGTATTTGGTTGGATGGAATGTCGCAAAGGAGAGCCACCATAATTCCATTTGTTTTCCAGCATTTTCTCTTCATCTACTCCTTTAACTGGCATTGTGGTCTAAAGTTGTTTTGATGGATTTCTTGTATGGTGTAAATCATGTTTATTTTAAAGACTCTGCCCTGTTGTTTGTCAGTTATTTGTCAACTGATGCAGTGGTGCCTGCATTTCTATGGATTACATTGTGTTCAGTTTAATAGTTTGATTGTGTGGATATGGCCAGTAATTAGTGCTTCTATCAGATCTTCTCCATTGAATCTTTGAATACTTCAGTAGTGGAAGGACGTCTGGTCCCAGCATCCTCAAGCTTGCACAGCACAGCTATACAAGAGATCCATCCCTGGAGGACTGGACTACAAAGCCTCTCCCTTTAGGATTTCCGACTATGATGTACTGCAGCAACTGCAAAACCCCCAGATCCATATGGTCCCAAAGTGAGCTCTGTCTTCAAGAACAAAGCTTCTGCTTGTGATGAAGAGGCATCCATGCATAACCAGAAGAGGGTTTGCTGGCGACACACACATTTTCCCCCCCCATGCCACAACCAGGGACGAGCCCTAATTATCGTCATTACACGCATCTCCCATGCTGCACAAATATAAAACTTACTGTTGTTTGTGTGTGGGGGGAGGGGGGGGGGGTTAATTCCCAGTGGTTATTGTTTATTAAAAAAGGGATATAATTTATGGTGGCATTTCGTAAGCTAACTGATCTGCTAAGTTATTCTAGGTGTCAATCAGAAATGTCCATCCTAAATATTTCTTACTACAACACCTTTGTTAGATTCCAGTGAGCATAATTCAAAGGCTTGGCCGCCCACTGTTTGATTATTTCTGCTTAGTGCCTCTGATTGTCCTCACACTAGCTAGACGCGCGATTAAACGCATGGCCACCGGGCTGCATCAGGTACCGCGCTTATCAAGCGTGCGATCCGATGACGAGATAATGGCTGGAGAGAGGGATCACGTACCGAGGCGACTTAACAACAGCATAATAGCAGCTTTTTAAGGAAGGCAGCGGGAACTGAGGCAAACGAGTGGGATGAAGAGAGAAGCAACACAGGGAAGTGGATGATGCTGACAGCTAATGTCAGCGTTAGTGTCTATTTTTTATTGGTTATCGATGTATCAATCTTTAAACAGAAACGATTCAGGGGATGCTAATCATGCTAAATGCTAACTAACGCTAACTGCACTATATCCCAATCACGCTAAAGTGCACAAAGGTGATCCTCTGACACTTTACAGCCTTTATAAAGCCAGTATTACCCCCACCCACCCCACGCCGTGTTCAGCATACAGATGGTACATCTGGATCTCTTGGTACTGGGTGGGCGGTGTGGCAGATGCTTGACCTTTGCCTCATTCGCATTTGGATGCCGAAACCTCCCTCATGAGCCCGTCTTCAGTTGACCCGCCCCACCTGTGCCTCCATACACACCCTGCTGTTCTCCTATCTATCCATGCACATGCTACACACAGACGGCCACTTGCACATCATATAATCCCTCACCTGTACACATAGCTAACCCTTAAAGCTCAACAAACACCAGCTAATCATTTGTCGGCGTCAAGCAAACACATATGAGATAATGCGGGTCACTGGTGCCTCGTGTAAATAAAACTGACTTTCCGCTCAGGCGATATATCATTGGAGGGGCGTGTCCTCCTGCATTGTTAAATCCTTGCTCTCTTCAGCTTGGCCGCGAGCACTAGACACGAATGGATCACGCTTCATTTTTTTTCTCCTCCCCCTCCCAAGATTCATGTCCTTAATTCAACCATTTTCTCCTAAAGTGAAGCTGTTGTAGTCTGGTGGGGGGGTAAAAAAAAAAAACAAAAAAAAAAACATGTCGCTTGTCATGTTTTCTTGTCGTCATGGATTTCAGTGTGATTGTGAGACGGAGGTGCGATTAAAAACACAAGTGAGGGTGATTTCTGCCGCGTGTGCTGATCACGTCGGCGATGTAAGCGTGGGAGGCGGAGTCACTGAGATTGAGCGGAAGGGAAATGGAGACAATGGGGGGGGGGATACTTGTTTGTGTGGAAGGATGGATGGAGGGATGAATTGACAAATGCAAAATGGAGGCCAGGGGAGGTGGACACAGAGGCTGTAGCACATTGGCTGGTAGACAGTGTTAGAGTGCATGGCACATTCTGCTGATGGATGTCACATGTCACAATGGGTAGATTTTCACGTTTCTTTTTTAATTTATTGCCTAATTGTTTAAAAAGGAGTGCAAGAAATTGCTGTTTTGCATCCCACACACGTCTGTCACACGCCAGTGTGATTTATCATTTCCGTTTTGGTTCTGCATTTCATGCTTGTCAATTCAAAAAGGAATGATGAAAATGTTTCTTAAGTGGGAGGAAATAATTTAAAAAAACAAGATAAACTTCATTGATCCCAGGAGGAAATTCTTGTGCATGCAGCAGCAAATACAGAGAACACAAAATCAGAAACAAGTCTGGACACACCTACTGAAAATCATTTGTTTTTCAGCAAGATAACCAATCCTTGATGTAGTACATATTATTTTTTGAACAAGGAAACAGATTGAGTGCTGGGTCAGGTGACCTGGCTCCCACAATCCTCTGACCTAAACCGTATTTATAGAGCAGTTTTGGGATGATGTGAACTAAAGTGTACAGGTGAGGTAGCCACCTTGTGCCCAGAACATGTGGAAATTTCAGGACTGTTGGAGAAGCATTCCAGGTGGCTACATCTGGAAGTTCATGTAAAGAATGCCAAGAGTCAGCAATGCTGTCATCAAAGCCAAAGGAGGCTGTTTTGTAGAATGTAAAATTTGAGAAAATTGAGATTTTGAACATTTCTCATGGTCGTTGTAATATTTGATGTGTGTTACTTTCTTGCTTCGAGGCCTTTTACTTTAAGGTGAATAACAGCTAACAGCCAAGACAAATGCATTAAAAGCAGGTGTGTCCTGATGTTTGTTAGTGTAGCTAAAATGCAAAACAAAGTGCAAAGACAGTGTACACTTAGTGCAGACAAGTAAACATGGCAAAAGCAAATTTAAAAAGTACACAGATTTCTTACAGAAATCTTTAACGTGATAACATTGAGATGCAGCCTGGAAATAGACAGACAGTCGATCCGTCCTGGCGTTTGTCTGGTTTCTTCTTTAAATTTGCTTGTTTACAGAGCGGAATTCCTGATATAAGAGTAGATCGTCTGTTGGTCTATTTCTGAAAAACGCACGGGAGGGAGAGGTTGTTCCCGCCCTGCCCGCCTGAACATTCCTAAACACCCGACCAGAAACAGGCTTTATCTTTTGAAAGCCACTTCGTAATTATGTTAATGTGACACCAGATAAAGTTCACCTTACCTCCCTCAGAAGGGATTAAGTTCCTTTCAGCACCCGTGTATATGAATGAATATTTTACAGCAGCTTAAGAAATGAAAAGGAGGGACAAAAATGGAAATGTCATCGGAGGTCACGGACTGAAGGATAATGATTATTTTGATGTGATTTGCCACTCACTCGGAGTGGAGTCATCTGTAATGCCGCCGCCCCCGCGTCATGTGACACTGGAGTGTCTTTTGTCCACATGCTGCCGGCCGCTCCTGCGCATTTAAGCATCCCATGGCCAGTGGTAATGGAGGTCTTTAGGAAATTGTAGTTTTCCTTGGCGCATCTGTCCGTCTATGCGCCGCTCCGTTTATCTCTCTGTCAGGCTGGAAGCTTGCCGATCTGCGCCGAGTCTCAGTCTTCACAGTGCAAACTTGGACTCCAAGTCAGTCGTGACTTGGAGAAGCATTATGGTGTGTAGGTGGGGGGTTGGCTGTCCTCCAGTGCCTTGAGGACAGCTCAGTGTCTGACACTTGCTCTTTGAGGGCCTTGTGTGGAAAATTGGGTTATGAATGAAGGCAGTTCATTATGCATGCTACTCCCATCCACCTGATGTTATTTACACTTTTTACATTTTAGCAGATGTTTTTGGTCAAAGTGACATACACATTTATTCTAAAGCAGGGTGAGTCAGTCTCTGGAACAGTTTGGGGTTAAGTACTTTGATCAGGGGCCCAAATCATCAAATCAAATCATTATGCCGTTCCCAGGATTTGAACAACCAACCTTCTGATCAGACACAGGATCCTAACCTACCGAGCTACACACCACCTGTAATCTACATTTGTCCCTGTTTTAATGAAGAAGCATCTGAATGTTCAGCCTCCAGGGACCCTTCCCAGTTCTTCTCTCTTAGGCCCTCAATACCAGGCCCAGAGGGTCAAAGGTTATGGCTTCCATCAGGCATACTCTGTGAGGTTGCCCAGCTGATTTTCCTGTGTGCCCTTCTAACAGTGGAAGGCCTTGAGGTGAGAATGAGTACGGAGGAGTGGGGCGGCGAGGAGGACGACGTGGCATGGGGCGTCCCAGACTGCCTGGAGCTCGTGTCGGCCATGGAGCAGGTGCAGCTGTGCTCGGAGGGTGTAGGAGGTATGGGGGGTGTGTCTCATTTTCAGGGCTGGGGAGGAGGAGTCGGAGGACCAGGTGTGCAGCATCTGTTTGGGCTGTGGAGCTGTGGCCATGCATCTGCGGGGTGCCTTCAGGGCCCGATGCATCCACACTTCAGGGACAGGGAACATAATGCTCATGAAAGTCACTCAGAGGAGCCAACCCCCGCCCCCCCGACATAGAAAAGGAGGGAAAATTTATAGTCGCTAAACGTGTCTCCACAATAACCAGCACTGTGCCCTTTGAAGGGCTTTAACCTGCCAATCCCAAGGGTGGCCACCCCAACCCCCATATGCGCAGTGCACTGGCAGAGTAGTAACACCTGAAAGCCATGAGCCGTTATTAAGCGAAGATGACGAGCCGGAGCCGGCTGGCCTTTTCCGGTTTTATTTCACAGACGAGGAAACCCCTCCCATCACGCACGGACAGGTGATCACAGACCGGCGTAGCACCTTCCAGCCCCATCTAGCCCCTGTGGTGACATCGAAACAGGTACTTATCACGCCCCCCCCCCCTTAAAAAAAAAAATGGGTGGGAGGGGGCTTTCGATCTTGGGGGCAGATGAGCGTTGGCTGTCAGAATGCACAGCTCCACCTCTGCCCCCCTGCTCCCGCTCTGCTTTGCAGTGGCTCAGATTCAGACAGCAAACTATTATCGTGGAGCTCCCTGCACTCCCCCCCCCCACACCCCACCCCCCAAATCACAGAACATTCATTTATTCATTTTCCCCAACAGACGCACAATTGAAAAAGAGGGAAGCGCAGAATGCGTGATTTGGCTGCTGTGGTTACAGCGGGCGACTGCTGGCCAGTAAGCACCAGAGGACACGTTCTCAGAAACGCTGCGTTGGTCCAAACGTGCCTGAATCATTTGCGAGCCGACCTGGGAGCTGCAGTAGCATGTGTTGCTGGGGGGGTGCAGTTGCCAGAGAAACAAGAAATTTCACACAGATATCGAAAAGGGATTCTCATGTGGTAATGTGGGCATGGCACGCTTCCGAACCCGCTTCTCTATTTCCTTACTGAATTGGACCTGACCGGTTTTGGTTTTGGTTACACTTCTCCGTTGACTTTCGGTATTTTTTCCTTTCCTCTTCCCTTATCCTTGTTTCACGCATTGTTTCGTGTAAACATTGCGAAAGGTGCTATATAAAAAATATTATGGTCAGTTTGAACCAGGCAGGACTCCACCTACTAAGATTTATGCTTAAATTTCACTTAAATATTTCAGATGAACACATACTTTGTACCTGTACTGCGTGAGCCACAGGATTGTTGTTGATTGATTTCCAGATATGAAAGCAGTGTCTTGCTGTCTCTCTGAGAACACCGCTGTTGTCCGGGAGCTGCCCACTGCCAAACGACATCCAAATTAGCGTTTGCCCCCGGCCCCTTACCTCGCATGCCCGGCTTTAACGTTGAGGCTGCTACCCACGCTGCCGGCATGCATGTGTAATAACTCGTCACCATGTCTTTCTTTCTGATGTGTAAATGACTATAAAATCCTATCTCGGGCTATTTATTAATCCCGCTCTGACATTACTCATCTGTCAGGGACCCCGTCACCTTCCTGTTTGGCGATGAAAATGCCTCGAGTGCTCGATCAGAGCTAAATAATGCTTGTGTCCAACCAGCCGTGCTGTTTCTCCCATGAATGGAAACTATCAAAGGCTGTTAATTGAAAATTGCCGGCATGCAGCGAAGTCGTGATTATTTTTATGTAAATATGCCATTGTCTTCGCGGCTTTTGCGGGACACGGGTTTGTCCCATGCCGATCTTTCCACTAGAGATGATGTCGGCTGTAATCTATCATGTAAAAGCACAAACAGGTAGCAGGGTGAAAAGCGGTCCCTCTGTTGCTCTTAACCGCAATTGAAAGGGAATAGAATGTAGTCTTGCGACTGCAATAAAGCCAGAGCCCCTGTCTTCAATTCAAGCATCTCTTGGCCTGGCATGGCATCTTGGGGAGGTGGGGGGCACTGGCAAGGGGGCGGTGGTTTTGCTTAGTCGTGCAAAGCCGTGTTATTTCATGTTTACGTTGTTGACAGACCCTCGCAGGCAGCCTGACCTCAAAGCTGTTCATGAACCTTAAATGAACAACGGGGGGGGAGGGGTGGTTTGGGGGTTGATGGGCCCCCACCTCTTACATTTAGTCACGGACCCGTTTACTTACGCAACCCCCCGGCTAATTTTGTGCTCGTTAGAAAAGCCAACAGTAAAGTCATTTTGATACTTGAATTTTTTTCTCTCCGTTGTCTCGGAAACCTAGTCTGGGTAAGTCTGTCTGCTCTGGTTTTGGTGTCTCAGACGTTTTGCTCGTGCATTGTTACTCACCGACAATTTGCATTTGTTTTGGTTCGGTGCCCCCCCAGCACAGAGGGGTGATGCTGAAAGATGCGCAGGATTATCTGTGGCTGTATCAAACATGCTCTGCGCTCCCTGCAGCTCCTGCTTTTTAAAAGTATATTTTCATTTCTTGACAGAAGTGACTTTTCCTGGACTGCCTGCTCATAATTTAGTACCTAGTGCGGGAATTCACTCCTCCACTTTAATCCTGGGGCTTGGACCAGCAACCTTTTAGCACTAAAGGTCCATCATCATTGCTGTTGCATAACAACAATGATTGGAGAAACTGGGTGTCGATTTCTGCAGTGGGTGGGGTCATTTAGTATATACCAATTACCACCATTATTTTCCAAAAAAGTTGGGACAGTCTGTAAAATGAAAATAAAATCAGAGTGATCTGCAAATCATAAAAAACTATTTAATTGAAAATAGAATAAATAAATGAATGTTGAAACTGAGAAATTTTATTGTCTTGTGACAAATATATGCTATCCATCCATCCATCCATTATCTTCCACTTATCTGAGGTCGGGTCGCGGGGGCAGCAGTCTCAGCAGGGAAACCCAGACTTTCCTCTCCCTGGCCACTTCATCTAGCTCCTCTGGGGGAATCCCGAGGCGTTCCCAGGCCAGCCGAGAGACATAGTCCCTCCAGCGTGTCCTGGGTCTTCCCCTAGGGCTCCTCCCAGTGGGACATGCCCGGAACACCTCACCAGGGAGGCGTCCAGGAGGCATCCTAAGCAGATGCCCGAGCCACCTCATCTGGCTCCTCTCAATGCGGAGGGGCAGCGGCTCTACTCTGAGTCTCTACCAAATGACCAAGCTCCTCACCCTATCTCTAAGGGAGAGCCCAGCCACCCTGCAGAGGAAACTCATTTCGACCGCTTGTACTCGTGATCTCGTTCTTTCAATCACTACCCATAGCTCATGACCATAGGTGAGGGTAGGAACGTAGATCGACTGGTAAATCGAGAGCTTTGCGTTTTGGCTCAGCTCTTTCTTCACCATGACAGACCGATGCAGCGCCCGCATCACTGCTGACGCCGCACCAATCCGCCTGTCGATCTCCCGCTCCATCCTTCCCTCACTTGTGAACAAGACCCCGAGATACTTAAACTCCTCCACTTGGGGAAGGACCCCCTCCCCGACCCGGAGAGAGCACTCCACCCTTTTCCGGCTGAGGACCATGGTCTCGGATTTGGAGGTGCTGATTCTCATCCCAGCCGCTTCACACTCGGCTGCGAACTGTCCCAGTGAGAGCCGAAGGTCATGGTCCAATGAAGCCAACAGAACCACATCATCTGCAAAAAGCAGAGACCTAATCCTGAGATCACCAAACTGGACACCCTCAACGCCCTGTCTGCGCTTAGAAATTCTGTCCATAAAAGCTATTAACAGAATCGGTGACAAAGGGCAGCCCTGACGGAGTCCAACCCTCACCGGAAACGAGTCTGACTTATTGCCGCCCATGCGGACTAAGCTCTGACACCGGTCATACAGGGACCGAACAGCCCTTATAAGGAAACCCGGCACCCCATACTCCCAGAGCACTCCCCATAGGAATCCCCGAGGGACACAGTCGAATGCCTTCTCCAAGTTCACAAAGCACATGTAAACTGGTTGGGCAAACTCCCATGAACTCTCCAAGACCCTGCTGCGAGTATGGAGCTGGTCCACATTTTCACAGCCAGGGTGAAAACCACACTGCTCCTCCTGAATCTAAGGTCCGGCAATCTGACGGACCCTCCTCTCCAGAACCCCCGAATAGACCTTACCAGAGAGGAGTGTGATCCCCCTATAGTTGGAGCACACCCTCCAGTCCCCCTTCATAAAGAGGGGGACCATCACCCCAGTTTGCCAGTCCAGAGGCACTGCCCCCGATGTCCACACGATGCTGCAGATGCGTGTCAAACAGGACAGCCCCACAGCATCCAGAGCCTTAAAGAAGTCCAGGCGGATCTAATCCACCCCCGGGGCTCGGCCACTGAGGAGCTTTTTAACCACCTCAACGACCTCCGCCCCAGAGATAGGGGAGTCCACACTCAAGTCCCCATACTCTGCTTTCACATTGAAAGGCGTGTCGGTGGGATTGAGGAGGTCTTCGAAGTACTCCCTCCACCGACCCAAAACATCCCGAGTTGAGGTCAACAGTGCCCCATCCCACCATAAACAGTGTTGATGCTGCACCACGTTCCCACCCTGAGCCGCCGGATGGTGGACCAGAATCTCCTCGAAGCCATCAGGAAGTCGTTTTTCATGGCCTCGTTAAACTCCTCCCACGCCCAAGTTTTTGCCTCTGCGACCGCTGAAGCCACATTCTGCTTGGCCCGCTGGTACCTGTCAGCTGCCTCTGGAGTCCCACATGCCAAAAAGACCCAATTGGACTCCTCCTTCAGCTTGACGGCATCCCTCACCACTGGTGTCCTCCAGCGGGTTCGGGGATTGCCGCCGCGACAGGCACCGACCACCTTACGGCCACAGCTCCGGTCAGCCGCCTCCACAATGGAGGCACGGAACATGGGCCATTCGGACTCAATGTCAGGTGTTCGTCATGGACAATCTGTGACGAGCACAGAAGTCCAATACCAAAACACTGCTTGGGTTCAGATCAGGGGGGGCGCTCCTCCCAATCAATCAACTCCAGGTCTCACTGTCATTGCCCACATGAGCGTTGAAGTCCCCCAGCAGAACAAGAGAGTTCCCAGGAGGAGTGCTCTCCAACACCCCTTCCAAGGACTCCAAAAAGGGTGGGTATTCTGAACTGCTTGAAGCGCAAACAACAGTCAGGACCCGTCCCCCCACCCGAAGGAGAAGGGAGGCTACCCTCTCGTCCACTGCGGTAAACCTCAATGTACAGGCACCCAGCCAGGGAGCAATAAGTATGCCCATCCCTGCTTGGCGCCTCTCTCCGTGAGCAACTCCAGAGTGGAAGAGGGTCCAGCCCCCCTCAAGGAGACCAGAGCCCAAGCCGTGCGTCGAGGCGAGCCCGACTATATCTAGTCTGAACCTCAAAACCTCGCGCACCAGCTCAGGTTCCTTCCCCATCAGAGAGGTGACATTCCATGTCCCTAGAGCTAGCTTCTGCAGCTGAGGATCGGGCCGCCAAGGTCCCCGCCTTTTGGCCACTGCATAACTCGCACTGCACCCGACCCCTATGGCCCCTCCCACAGGTGGTGAGCCCATTGGAGGGGGGACCCACGTGCCTTCTAGCTGTCCCCGACCAGGCACCATGGGTGCTGTCCCGGTCACCAGGTACTCACCATTGAGCCCCACCCCCAGGCCTGGCTCCGGGGGGGGGGCCTGTGACCCACGTCCGGGCAAGGGAAATCGTGGATCCATTGTTTTTCTCATCATAAGGGGTCTTGTGAGCCGCACTTCATCTGGTTCCTCACCCTAGACCTGTTTGCCTTGGGTGACCCTACCAGGGGCATAAAGCCCCGGGCAACTTAGCTCCTGGGATCATTGGAACACGCAAACCCCTCCACCACGATAAGGTGTCGGCTCCAGGAGAGGACAAATATGCTCAATTTGAATTTGATGCCAGCAACACATTTCAAAATAGTCGGGACTGGGGCAACAAAAGACTGGAAAAGTTGTGCAATGCTAAAACAAAACACCTGGTTGAATATCTCACAAGTAATTAGGTTAATTAGCAACAGCTCAGTAAGATGATTGGGTGTAAAGAGAGCCTCCCAGAGAGGCAGTGTCTTTCTGCAGTGAAGATGGGGAGAGGTTCACCACTCTGCAGAAGACTGTGTGGGCAAATAGTGCAATGATTTAAGAATACTGTACCTAAATATAATTCTGTGGTACATAATGTTATTAAAAGATTCTGAGAATCCGGAGAAAACCAAGGCTGTAAACCAATATTGGATAGCTGTGATCTTCGGGTCCTAAAACAGACACGATTCTGTAGTGGAAATCACTGCTCAGGAACACTTCCAAAAAAACCAATGTCTGTGAACGTATTCCACCCCTGGCTAAAGATACTGCACGGATTAAATACCCAAAATACTCCATGATGCCTTTTTAGGAAACTACTGATTCCTGGCTGGGACTTACATGCCCAGCACATGATATTTACAGAAAGCAAAGGAATGTTTTTGATATGTTCTTCCTCACACATAGAGATCGGAATATGAAATGTAAAGGGTTGATTAAACGAATAACACGGTTTCTTAGGATGTGCAGTTTTCTGGTTACACATATGAGCTTGCAATCTAAAAGTTGCTGATTTGACACTGGGAAGGGCTCTGCTGGCGGACTAGTGAAACATAGCGGTATTAATGGGAAATTGCTGGTGGGGGGTGTGGGGGTGTATCACATCAGCCAAGGGAGTAATGCAGATATCCATCTTTCAGGTCACAAAGGTCCTGGATGCCCTCTATGAAAACAAGAAGATTGCAAGTGCCACACACAATATCTACGCCTACAGGTACGGGATGATCGGGGGCTTAGGTTTGACCAGCCCCTTGAAAAACAAACTGTGATCCACAGACGCAAACCTGAGCTCATGTTGGCACTGAGAGTTGGCTTTCGATTTTTCTCCTTTCTGACGCCGGAAGGATGAAAATGCAGCCAGTTGGCCCATCCAGAACACTGAAGCTTCTGGGTGATATGATGACAGCTAATGGGCAGGACTATCCCCTGTTCTGGCCATGTTGGTCTGCACACTGGCTGCCACACTGGGAGGATTAGCTCACCCATCCTGCTGGTTACGTGCTAAATCCTAAACAAGCAGATTAGCTACCGAAACAATGCAGTTAAGTAATACACCATCTATGGTCATTATCCCTGACCATGTGGCTTCATATGCTAAATAACCGTGAACTTATGGCGTGTTGTGAGCATGTGCCAACGACTTTGCTGAGGGGATAATATGTCCTTTGTTGGGATCGTTTTCTCCAAGGCTGAGGAGAGGAGATGTGAGGTCTTACATCTGCCAACATCCAGGCGGCTTTCAACCGGCTATTCGCTCTCAGAGGAGTCTCTTTTATCTAGCTTGGACCTCAAATCACTTTTTAATTGTGCCCTCTGCACAGTTCAACTTTTAAACCCCCC